AAATAATTTAATTGAGGTAGTTTTATTTATTTTGTTAACAAGCTTATCGTCTTTTGAAGTTTCGGGTATCCTAAAGTCGACCGTCTTGATATAGTCTCTGACTCCAAGACATCTTCTGTCGTAGGATGATTGAGTCTACTGTATACATGACATCAAATGGACGACTCGATGACATCATGTTCATGGATAATTCTGGACACACATGGATATGAAGGCCCAAATTTTGACGGTGAGCTGTGAACACTATTACTGATTTTCAAGAAAAGACGAGTCGTCATTTTAGCATTCAAACGTGGATAATTCTGGACACACATGGATTTGAAGGCTCAAATTTCGACAGTGAGCTGTGAACACTATTACTGATTGGCTTAGATAAAAAAAATTCACGTTTCTAGACTCATAAATGATTTCTCGCACAGAAATCTTGGTCGTGTCCCTTTTCAAAATAAAAGAAATGCAGCCTTAAAAAATGTCGGATTCATACAAACAGTGTATATACTAAGTACATGAAAAGAAAAATATATAAAAATATAGATATATAACAAACTAGACTAATAATAACTACCACAATCAACTTAAAGAGATTGTAAAAAGGTTTTCTAAATTTTGTATCAGATGTCTGTAGAATTGCAGGAACCACAGACGTCTGATTGAAAATTAGAATGATGTAAATTGATACTATCAGTGTCCCTGATACACATAAAAAATTTAGAAAACCTCTTTACAATCTCTTTAACAAGAACCACAGACGTCTGATTGAAAATTAGAATGATGTAAATTGATTCTATCAGTGTCCCTGATACACATAAAAAATTTAGAAAACCTCTTTACAATCTCTTTAACAAGAACCACAGACGTCTGATTGAAAATTAGAATGATGTAAATTGATGCTATCAGTGTCCCTGATACACATGAAAAATTTACAAAACCTCTTTACAATCTCTTTAACAAGAACCACAGACGTCTGATTGAAAATTAGAATGATGTAAATTGATGCTATCAGTGTCCCTGATACACAAGTAAAGTTTAGAAAACCTCTTTACAATCTCTTTAACAAGAACCACAGACGTCTGATTGAAAATTAGAATGATGTAAATTGATGCTATCAGTGTCCCTGATACACATACAAAATTTAGAAAACCTCTTTACAATCTCTTTAACAAGAACCACAGACGTCTGATTGAAAATTAGAATGATGTAAATTGATGCTATCAGTGTCCCTGATACACAAGTAAAGTTTAGAAAACCTCTTTACAATCTCTTTAACAAGAACCACAGACGTCTGATCGAAAATTAGAATGATGTAAATTGATGCTATCAGTGTCCCTGATACACATACAAAATTTAGAAAACCTCTTTACAATCTCTTTAACAAGAACCACAGACGTCTGATTGAAAATTAGAATGATGTAAATTGATGCTATCAGTGTCCCTGATACACATACAAAATTTAGAAAACCTCTTTACAATCTCTTTAACAAGAACCACAGACGTCTGATTGAAAATTAGAATGGTGTAAATTGATGCTATCAGTGTCCCTGATACACAAGTAAAGTTTAGAAAACTTCTTTACAATCTGTTTAACTACGCTGTGATATATTTAAATCATTAATTTTTTCACAGCCTGACCTAATTTAATAAAATCATCCATTGTATTATAGACTTGACAACTGAGTCTACAATAATTCACTCCAAGATAAGTAATGAAGACTGAAGTGATGTCTTGATTTTCCAGTAAATCTAGTTGTAATTTCATCGTCGACTCTCCGCTAACTTCGACACCTTTTAGTCGCGGAAGTTGAACGTTGATCATAAACGGAGCTTCCATGGTTTCTGGTATATCTTGCTTGTCTGTTCCCCATAACTTCATCAGATACTCACTTCCCTCTCGAATCAACTTCTTATTATACCCGTAAACCTTTTCAAAACCACCGATACTCTTAAAGAAATTCAAACTAGCCTCGGCACAAAAGAATGGCGTATGGTCTTTGGTTCCGTTGTCAATAAATTCTGCGTTCAATCCTTCGTAAAGATGCCATGATGAATTAAGAGCGTGGATTTTATCTGTGTGTTGTTTCGCTACGTATAAAATAGCGCAGCCGCGTGGAGCAAACAGCCATTTGTGTAAATTTCCAACAAAAAAATCAGCTCCTAATTCGTCCAAATTCAGCTCAATTTGTTGGTGAGTGAGCGCCATCTATGAACGTTAAAACTCCATGTTGACGACAAACTTCGATAATTTCTTTTACTGGCATCAAAATGGCGCTCGGACTGGTTATATAGTCAATGACAGCAATTTTCACGTTTTTGTTATTTTTCAAATAATCGCGATACAAATTGATGATGTCATCTTTCGTTTTTATTGGTAGCGTTATTTTTAAAAATCTGGATTCGACTCCCTCTCTAGTTTCTCCTACATATTGAACCAAATTTTTCACAGCTTGGTAGGTCAAGTTGGTGCCTAGAATTATGTCCCCTTTCAGGAATTTCAGACTCTTTAAGACTGCATTGGTGCCAGTCGTAGCATTTTCTACAAAAACCATACAATCAGTGTCCTTAATATTGACAAATTTACAAATTGCCGCTTTGGAATCGGCCCAATATTGACGAATATTTCTTCGGAACCACAGTTCTGGATGTTCTTCAAGTTCGTTTTGCAGTTTCAATCTGTATTCGTAGACCCGTCGTGGTACTGCTCCGTACGAGCCATGATTCAGATGAACACATTTTTCCCTCAGAAAAAATTCCTGATCTTTGATGGCGGAACCAAACTCGATTTTTTCTAAGCCTTCCATCTCTATTGTTCAAAAATTGGGTGGAAATTTGGACTGCCTGTAAAGAAATGTATCCTTTTACAATGTAAATATCTGTATCTTATGCGACACGTACAGACTCCACCATTTTGTCCAAGAAGAATCACGTGATGAAACAAATCACGTGATAAGAGGATTGACTTAATCTTTTAAATGTACCCAAATAGGTAAAGTGGAACGAAAACAGAATCTATAGTCTTATCTTTTACATTTACTTGTGGACGCAATGGGAACAAAATATCCTTGTGGACGCAAGTAGAACAAAATATCCTTGTGGACCCAATAAGAACAAAATATCCTTGTGGACGCAATAGAAACCAAATAGCCTTGTGGACGCAATAGTGACCAAATATCCTTGTGGACGCAATAGAGACAAAAATACTTATGATAAAAAAAAGGAACAATTATATTTTACAAGGATATCAACCTAAGTGCCTCGGCCAAACCTTTTGTCATTGATCTTTTTCAAATTGTCCGAACACGTTTCCCTATCAGTTTATCCCTTGGGCCAACCCCCATCCCCTCCCATCCCAAATTGAGGCTGGCCCGATTGCCCCACTGCAAAAATTCTTACCAACGCACCCTCGGGGCAGGGGAAAATCTCCATAAAACATGGCCCAATTTTTCTGACCCTACTCCAGCCGATAACTGTTAGTGACGGAACCGCACTGTTCAATGTTTATATCACCTGTTTTCACAGTTATTAACATAATAAATTATAAAAAGTGTTACCAGGTGACAAGGTGATGTGTTAATTAAACACGTAGAAAATATAATTAAGTCAGATCTTAAACGCCATAAGAATTATAAAATTTATAGTTGAGAAGTTGTGAAAACATGGGAGTGACCTGCAGTAATCCGGGTAAGCATTTTGCTTTTACCAATTTTCAAAATATTTATTTTCAACTGTATTCCTTTTGTCTTGGAATGTCTTCAAGAGACAGTTACGCCATTTTTGAAGGGTTGATTTGAGTCTTGAATATATGTAAATAGTCTTCAGAAATACTAGAAATGTACGAAAATCACATAATTCCTTTAAAAATATCTCAAACTAGGAATTTTATTCACTATTTCTATAGATGTCTTTTCTATATAATGGTAGCGTCTCTAGAAAAGACGAGTGGTCATTTTAACTTTCAAACGTAGATAATTCTGGACACACAAAAAATTCCTGTTTGTGAGACTAAGGTATGATTATAATAAAATGGCCAAGTTTTGTGAAATCAACATATAAGTTATCAAATTTCACGATTTTTTTTGCAGATTTTCGGGGAACATTCGGTGTAACAGCAGATGAAATTTCCATCAATTGTAAAGATTATGTAAATTCAGAAAGTAAGGTAGGATTTCGCGTCCAGATTAATATCTGTACCCCCAAGGATGATGGGGGGGGGGGGGGGGATTTGAGTCTTGAATATATGTAAATAGTCTTCAAACGTACTTGAACTGCACGAATATCGCATAATCCCTTCAAATGTAAATGTTATTTTTCTATAAAAGAAGAGTCGTCATTTTAACACGGATAATTCTGTACACATGGATTTGAAGGCTCAAATTTTGACAGTGAGCTGTGAACACTATTACTGATTGGCTTAGCTAAAACATTCCTGTTTCTGAGATTAAGGTACGATTGGTCAAACGGATGTCCCTTTAAAAGTCTTCATTTTAATTTTTCGTTTCAGTCCAACAAAGAATCTAGAAGTCTGTCGGTCCATATGACGTATGTAGGCCTACCGCTTCACTTAACGGAACGCCGTGAAACGTTAAAACCACCGTCTCTAGTGTTTGTGATAGCCATCCCTCGTCAGGCCGTCCTATCAGATCTCTATATCAACTGGGGCCGTTTACATATTCTACATCAAGGTGAGCATAATTGTAAATAGGTTTCTAAACACCGATAGCACCAATATTCAGTCAGACGTCTGTGGTTCTTGTTAAAGAGATTGTAAAGAGGTTTTCTAAGTTTTTTATGTGTATCAGGGACACTGATAGTATCAATTTACATCATTCTAATTTTCAATCAGACGTCTGTGGTTCTTGTTAAAGAGATTGTAAAGAGGTTTTCTAAATTTTTTATGTGTATCAGGGACACTGATAGCATCAATTTACACCATTCTAATTTTCAATCAGATGTCTGTGGTTCTTGTTAAAGAGATTGTAAAGAGGTTTTCAAATTTTTTATGTGTATCAGGAACACTGATAGCATCAATTTACACCATTCTAATTTTCAATCAGACGTCTGTGGTTCTTGTTAAAGAGATTGTAAAGAGGTTTTCAAATTTTTTATGTGTATCAGGAACACTGATAGCATCAATTTACACCATTCTAATTTTCAATCAGATGTCTGTGGTTCTTGTTAAAGAGATTGTACAGAGGTTTTCTAAATTTTTTATATGTGTATCAGGGACACTGATAGCATCAATTTACACCATTCTAATTTTCAATCAGACGTCTGTGGTTCTTGTTAAAGAGATTGTAAAGAGGTTTTCTAAATTTTTTATGTGTATCAGGGACACTGATAGCATCCATTTACATCATTCTAATTTTCAATCAGACGTCTGTGGTTCTTGTTAAAGAGATTGTAAAGAGGTTTTTTTAATTTTTTATGTGTATCAGGGACACTGATAGAACGACTTCCATCTGGAAAATTCA